CTGGGCGATTCTCTTGCCTCAACCTCCTGAGTAGCTGGGACTATAGGCGCCTGCCACAATGACCAGCTATTTTTTGGTTGCAGTTTGGCCAGGGCTGGGTTTGAACCCGCCACCCTCGGTATATGGGGCCAGCGCCCTAACCACTGAGCTACAGGCACCGCCCAGTGCCCTTTTTCTCTCATGATTGCTCCCAATAGCATAAGTCTTGGTTTTATTTTTTGCAAATTTCAGCTTATTCAGCATTCCAGACCAGGGATTCACATCCCCTTCCTCACCTCCCCACAACTCTTCCCATCTCACCACCACCTCCCCTGCTTCCTTTACAAATGTCCTACTTCCCCACCTGATGCTCCCACAAGTACGTCCATAACTATCTAGCTTCCACCCTATCCCCCTAGAGTCTTGCTCTGTCTCCTCGGCTAAAGAGCCACAGCCTCAGCCTAACTCATAGCAACCTCAAACTCCTGGGCTCAAACAGTCCTCCTGCCTTAGCTTCCCAAATAGCTGGGACCACAGGCTCCTGCTACCACACACGGCTATGTCTGGCATTTTTAATCTATGTATCTGACTTCTCTTTCCAACTAGACTGTAAGTGAAGTCTGAAGAATTCCAGGCATCTGCTCACGCCTATAATCCTAGCACTTTGGGAGCCAAGGTAGGTGGATTCCTTGAGCTCAGGAGTTGGAGACCAGCATGAACAAGAGACATCTCTCTATTAAAAATAGAAAAATTTGGGGAGGCGCCTGTGGCTCAGTGAGTAGGGCGCCAGCCCCATATACCAAGGGTGGTGAGTTCAAACCCCACCCCGGCCAAACTGCAACAATAAAATAGCCGGATATTGTGGTGGTTGCCGTAGTCCCAGTTACTTGGGAGGCTGAGGCAAGAGAATCACCTAGCCCAGGAGTTGGAGGTTGCTGTGAGCTGTGTGACGCTGTCACGGCACTCTATCCAGGTTGATAAAGTGAGACTCTGTCTCTGAAAAAAAAAATAGAAAAATTTGGCTCAAGGCCCGGAGCACAGTGGTTACGGCGCCAGCCACATACACTGAGGCGGGTTCGAACCCAGCCTAGGTCAGCTAGACAACAATGACAACTGCAACAACAACAAAAATAGCTGGGCATTGTGGCAGGCACCTATAGTCCCAGCTACTTGGAAGGCTGAGACAAGAGAATCACTTAAGCCCAAGAGTTTGAGGTTGCTGTGAGCTGTGACGCCACAGCACTCTACCGAGGGCAACATAGTGAGACTCTGTCTCAAAATAAAAAAAATAAAAATAAAAATAAAAATAGCCGGGTGTTGTGGCGGGGGCCTGTAGTCCCAACTACTTGGGAGTCTGGGGCAAGAAAATCACTTAAGCCCACGAGTTTAAGTTTGCTGTGAGCCACAGCACTCTACTCAGCGTGCCAGAGTGAGACTCTGTGTCAAAAACAAAGGAATAAATAGAAAAATTAGCCAAGTGTAGTGGTGGGCACCTGTAGTCTCAGGTACTCAGGAGGATGAAGCAGGTAGATCACTTGAACCCAGGAGTTTGAGGTTGCTGTCAGCTAAGAAGATACCAGGGCATGGTAGCCTAGAGAAGGGAAGGGGAAGGGGAGTAGAGGGGAGGGGAGAGAAAGAAAAAAGGAAGGAAGGAAGGGAGGGAGGGAGGGAAGGAGGGAATTCCAGGCCTCCACTAAATACTCAGCATCAAAAATATAGGTGGATTCAACTAAAACCTCCAAGACTGCTTTTAGGACCTAAACATTTTTAATTTCCCCAATCTCTTTATCCTCCTTCCTTTTGCACCCTCCTACCTTCAGGGTTCTATTGAATTCTCTCAGCCTTCCAAGTAGCTGGGACTACAGGGGCCCACCACAATGCCCCAGCTATTTTTTTTTTTTTTTTTTGAGACAGAGCCTCCAGCTGTCCCCCTGGGTAGAGTGCTGTAGCATCACAGTTCACAGGAACCTCCAACTCCTGGGCTCAAGCGAGTCTCCTGCCTCTGCCTCACAAGTAGCTGGGACCACAGGCGCCCCCCACAACACCCAGCTGTTTTTTGGTTGCAGCCATCATTGTTGTTTGGCGGGCCTGAGCTGGGGATTCGAACCTGCCACCTTAGGTGTATGTGGCTGGCACCTTAGCCACTTGACCCACAGGTGCTGAGCCCCCCGACTATTTTTTTGTTGTTGTTGCAGTTTGGCCAGGGCCAGGTTTGAACCCGCCACCCTCAGTATATGGGGCTGGCACCCTACCCACTGAGCCACAGGCGCTGCCCATTAAGAGCCTTTTTATGGCCACCTGTATGGCTTCACAGAAAATTGTTTTGTACCATTTGTAGTGGGGAGAGAGTAGTAAAAATGTGTACTTTGTCCAGAGCCAGATTGCCTGGGTTCAAACCATAGCTCCACCATTTATAGTCACCCCAATCCCTATGTGCAGGATATTAGTCCAGGTCCCCCAAAGATATCAAAATCCAAGATGCTCAAGTCCCTTATATAAAATGGTATGGTATTTGTATGTAACTTGTGCACGTCTTCCCATATAGTTTAAATTATTTCTAGATTAGAATACGTAATAAAATGTAAGTGCTATGTAAACCATCATTATATTGTATTTTTAGGTAATGATAACAAGGAAAAAAAGCCTGTACATCTTCAGTACAGATGCAATTTCCAGCTCCCCTCCCCTTAATAGTTTCTTTTTCTTTTTCTTTTTTTTTCTTTAGAGACAGAGTCTTACTTTGTCACCCTGGGTAAAGTGCTCTGGCGTCACAGCTCACAGCAACCTCCAGAGTAGCTGGGACTACAGGTGCCCGCCACAGGGCCCAGCTACTTTTTTGTTACAGTTTGGCCAGGGCCGGGTTCAAACCCATCACCTTTGGTATATGGGGCTGGCGCCCTACCCACTGAGCCACAGGCACTGCCCCCCTTAATATTTTCAAACCATGATGGATTAAATCCACAAATGCAGAACTCACAGATACAGGATTGGCACCTGTAGCTCAGCAGCTAGGGCTCCAGCCACATACACCAGAGCTGGAGAGTTTGAACCCAGCCCAGGCCTGTCAAACAACAGTGACAACTGCAACCAAAAAAAATAGCTGGGGTGTTGTGGAGGGCGCCTGTAGTCCTAGCTACTTGGGAGGCTGAGGCAAGAGAATCACTTAAGCCTAAGAGTGTGAGGTTGCTGTGAGCTGTGACATCGCTGCACTCTACCCAGGGTGACAGCTTGAGACTCTGTCTCAAAAAAAAAAGAAAGAAAGAAAGAAAAGAAAATTAAAGAACTCACAAATACAGAGGGCAGGCCCCCAGTACCAGATCTTGGGCAAAATACTTAACTTTTGGGCAGTGCCTGTGGCTCAAAGGAGTAGGGCGCCAGCCCCATATACCAAGGGTGGTTGGTTTGAACACGGCCCTGGCCAACCAGCCCTGGGCAAAAACTACAAAAAAAAATTAACTTTTCTGTGTCTGCATTTCCTTATCTGTAAAATGGGTTTAACAATGGTATGCATTTCACCAGGTCTTCAAGAGGATTAATGAGCAAATACTTGTAATATATTATGGGTGACTAAAATATTTAGTATTTCCTAAAGTACTTACTAAGTAGTTGGTGAAGTGCTTCTTAGATCTGTACCTCAAGAGTGGAAAAATCTCCAAGTGTTTGCTAACATTGTAACCTAATTGTACCCTCACAATAATCTGAAATTTTAAAAGTGTTTGATAGTAGTTGTTACTGTTTATTACTATTACCTATTAGTGCCACAGGAAATCAGTAACTCCAAGCTCGCATAAATTAGAACTAATAATAGTTGCTACCAGACATGGAGTGCTTCCTAGAGATGTGTTTAGTGCTCAACTTGCATTATCTCCCTAAATATTCGCAACAAATTTAAGAAACGGTTGCATTTTGATAAACCTCATCTTATAATTGAGAAGCACAGAGAGGTTAAGTAATTTTCTCAAGATCACATAACCAGCAAATAGAGAAGGCATATTATTCACCTATCGGCCATTTACTGAGTTCTTAGTGCGTCTCAGCAGGAGAGAAGCCGAGTGGGTAAAAAGGTAAACAGTCTAGGCCCAGCCTACGGGAAGTTTCAGCTTCGAGAAGGGGCGGGGCGGGGGCGGGAATGACGAATAAACAAATACTTACAATACCGTGCGGTAATTGCTGTAATAAAGGCTCACTACGAAAAGTGCTACCTGATCTCAGACACTGGGACAAGAAAAGTATCGAGAGCTTAAGGGTCCAAAGTAAATACATGACAGATATGGAATAAGCAGATGTCCTGTAACAGCAAACGTGTTACAACCAAAAGACGAAACAAAGCAAAGTCAAAAGTGGAAGCTAAAGCTGTGCCTCAAGTGCCTGTCTGACGAGACCGGGCAGAACCGGAAAAGGGTTAAGGCTAGCAGGTGGGCGGGCCCCGCGCGGTGACTGACAGGGGTGGGACCAGGCTCGTCACCCGCCCGGTCTCTGCGCCCCGGCTCCTCCAACCCCTGGGCGGGCCGGGGTACTGCTTGGGCAAGGGCTGGGGCGCTGGGCCTAGCCTGTCCCCCTCCTCCGCTTCCCCGTGCAGTTCCCAGGGCTGGACACGCTGGAGAAGTTGAGCTGCGCCCGAGCTGGCCCTGGTGGCTGACAGTGGGCAAAGTTTGGTCTGAAGAGGAAGTAGCCTCAAGCCCCGGCAGGTGGCGGCCAGGCCCGGACAGGGGCCCTTGCGGCCTGCGAGTTGGCTGTAGGCGACAGTGCGCCCCAGCACCCGGCCCGGAGCCGAGTCCCGGGGCTCCAGGAGCCCACTCCGGAGAGAGAGCGCGGCGGCGGCGGAAGAAAACAACTCTAAAGTTGCTAGAGGCACCGCCCCTACTCCCCGGCCGCGCTGTCTCCGGTTCCCCAGCCCTGGCATCCAGAACACGGGTCGAGCCCGGGCCATGCAGCCCCCTTGGGGAGGTGGCACCGGGGAGCCTGGACGCCTGCAGCCTCGCTGCCTCCCCAGTGAGTAGACGACCGAAGCTCCGGAACTCTTCCTGCACCTCCAGACGGCTCAGGATGCTGCCAGCCATCCTCATTCTCTTCCTCCTTGGTAAGAACAGAGACGAGACTACCCACTGGCACCGGCACCCCATCCCCAGGACTGTCACCGAGTCCAGCCGCTCTGACTGCATCCTAAGAGAACCCCCCTCACCCCACCCTGTCTGCCCGTGCTACCCAGCCCCTGCTACCACGCCGACCACTGCCTGCCCCAGCCCCTGGGAAGGCTCCCACAGCTCCGCTCAGCCCTCGTCCTTTCTCTGGCTTCCTCAGATCACTCTGCTGCTGGACCGACCCTGGGGGTCGACCACCGCAGCCTTCTCTCCCAATCCCCCTGCATTCCCTCCTTGCTATAAACTGCCCGGAAGTCCCAGATGACTTCCTGTCCTCCTTGGGTTGTTCAGGTGAAGAACTCCTAAGGGTGACTCACTCTCCTGCCCTTTCTCTCTCTTCCTCCAGGAGGCGCTCTGGCACATCCAGACCGGATCATTTTCTCAAATCCCGGTGAGTGAAGGGAACTCCTGGGGCTCCGCAGCCTTGGGCATAAGAGAACACACAAGAGAAGTTCTCTCTCTTCCCTGGCTTCCATGGGACTACTATAGTTTTAGGGTAAAGTGACCAGAGGTCCCGCTTTTGGCGGGACAGTCCCGATCTTTTAACAGTTTGTCCCGCGTCCCGCGGCGTTTTAAAAAAGTCCCGATTTTTGGAAAGAATGCACGACAAGCTAGGGAACAGCGGGACAACAGGAAGAGAATATACGGTTTTCGGCTGCTGAAAAGGTTAATGTAACTCCATTTGGGAATGAAGAGGTTAATATAACTTCACTTGGAAATGAAAAGGCTAATGTAAACTCCCTACTCCCCTCCTGGGCAAAGTTGCCCAGGTGGATGGCGCCCTACTCCTTTGAGCCACAGGCACTGCCCTATACATAATTTTTTTTTTTGAGCCGGAGCCTCAAGATGTCCCCCTGGGTAGAGTGCTGAAGCATCACAGCTCACAGCAACCTCCAACTCCTGGACTCAAACGAGTCTCCTGCCTCAGCCTCTCAAGTAGCTGGAACCACAGGTGCCTGCCACAATGCCCCCCTATTTGGTTGCAGCCGTCATTGTTGTTTGGCAGGTCCAGGCTGGATTCGAACCTGCCACCTTAGGTGTATGTGGCTGGTGCCTTAGCCACTTGAGCCACAGGCTCTGAGCTTATAATTTTTTTTTTTTTTTTTTTTTTTTTTTGAGATAGAGCCTCAAGCTGTCCCCCTGGGGAGAGTGCCATGGCATCACAGCTCACAGCAACCTCCAACTCCTGGGCTCAAGCGAGTCTCTTGCCTCTGCCTCCCAAGTAGCTGGGACCACAGGTGCCCGCCACAATGCCCTGCTATTATTTGGTTGCTGAGCCCTTATAATTTTTTTAATGTATTATATTTGTAAATTGTACTTATGTTGAAATTAAAATATATATATATATTACAATATTAATTTTGTATTCTATGAAAATTTTTGTTGCTCCATATAGACCAAATTTTTAATTAAGAACCCTCCCACCCACCTGCCCCCGTCAATGGTGTCCCACTTTACCAATGTTAAAATCTGGTCACCTTATTTTAGGAAATCATCCACATGTTATTTTATAGATGGGGAACCTGGGGCTCTGTGTGGACCTTACCTGTTAGCTACTATGTACTATTTCATGGGTTGATTTTTTCTTTTTTCCTGGAATAGCCATGTTTGATCTCCCTAGCCAGAATATAGTCTCCCAGAAGGTAGAGACAGTATTTCCTGCTTCTCTTGGCCCAGTGGCTTACACAAAGCAGACCTCAGAATTGTTTGTGATATTAATTGATACTTAAGGTGAAGCCATGAACAGTGGGGGGAAGAGAGGGTCCAGAAGGCTGTAATTGTAATATGTGTATGTAGGGCAGGTGCTCTGCTCCTTCTTAAAGAGCCCAGGCCCTTGGAAGCCTCAAGCCTAGGGTGGGGTGGGATGCTAAGTGGCTCTCTACCAGTGTACCTGCCTTTCTCTCCAGCTTGTGAGGACCCCCCAGCAGTGCTACTGGAAGTACAGGGCACCCTACAGAGGCCCCTGGGCCGTGACAGCCGCAGCTCCCCTGCCAACTGCACCTGGCTCATCCTGGGCAGCAAGGAGCAGACAGTAACAGTCAGGTGAGAAGCAGGGCAAAGCCCCATTCCTCTCCCCTTCCCCTCCACCTTCCACTGTGGAAAAATTTTCAGGGATCACTTTTCCATGAAATTTCCATCCTTGTCAACAGGGAAGAAGAGAATTTGATTTGGCCTAGTCTGCCTTAAAAGCCTGTCTTTTTTTTTTTTTTTTTT